GCTTTGCGCGAAATTCAAAACAAACAAATAAACATAACTGAGTAGAAACTGCCCTCCCCCTTCTCCCCGGTTTGTGAAAAAATATCCGTGCATGACAAAATTCATTTGAAGCTTAATATTCACAAAAATATGGTATAAAAATTAATCGTCAAAAAGACAAACATTTTCTTAAAATCAATATAGTATTTGATGAAAAGTTAACTTTATGTAGTTTCGTTTGTTTGTTTGTTTTTGAATTTCGCGCAAAGCTACACGAGGGCTATCTGCGCTAGCCATCCCTAAATTAGCATTGCAAGATTAGAGGGAAGGCAGCTAGTCATCACCACCCACCGCCAACTCTTGGGCTACTCTTTTACCAACGAATAGTGGGATTGACTGTCACATTATAACGCCCCCACGGCTGAAAAGGACGAGCATGTTTGGTGTGACGGGGATTCGAACCCACGACCCGCAGACTGCGAGTCGAGCGCCCTAATGTAGTTTCGAGAGTAAGTACAATATATTGCTACGTGCAATAAGCTTTTAACATTATTAACACTTGCCAGCCCGGTATCTGGATTAAAAGAAGAATAATTCTGGAATGGTTTAGGTTGTTTTGATTAGACAAACAGAAGACGTTTGGCACAAGATCTAGGCCGCTGGACTTGACCCGAGATTATGAGAGCCAGCATGGAGAAGTTAATTTGTAAATGTAAAGTAAAACAACGTAGCAATGAAACATGCTTGAAATGTTCTAGATACACGTGGTTGTAAATGTGATGTTTTAATTGTGGCGACTAGGCTAAACTATGGGTCCAAGTCGGATGAGGGAAGAACTTATTCGAAAATATCCCAATCGATTTGACATATCAGCTGAATCGGAGATTAGTCAATTGATTACTGCATTGACTGCGAAAAATAAAAACACTGGCACAGTAGTATGTTGTATTCAAAAATAGACCGTGTTTCAATATTTTGTGAAACTAACTGCACAATAAAGCCTAAAGATGCAGTGATGAAGTTGAAGCAGATGCACGATGCATTACAAGATGGCTTCCCTAGCGATTTTCAAATTAAAAATGTTATTTCTGTAATGAAGAATAAATATAAAAAGGATGGTATAATAGCCAGTATGGTACCACCATAATGCAATCCATATAGATTTCATCATGTCATATTTTCATTAATACATTTAGTTTTTTTTTTCGTCTTAGAAGTTGTGCCGAGCTTTATTTATCAAAATATCCCTAAATCACTGGTTTCAGGAATGACCCTTTGTTGACCATCCAAGACTCAGTACTAAACGATGCTGGGCTGGCTCGTGTGGCAGATGCTAATAACAATTTTGCACAAAGTTATGCATCGAACGTTCATGCAGTATCTTATACATATACAAAAGTTGAGTACGTGATATTAAAATAATTTTAGAGCCTCATCACGTTGTTATAGTCCATGTAGCCATGTCCGGTTATGCTCTATCTGGCGAGCATGAATCTTAACAATGGCTCCGTAGACTTTCTTGTTATGTTGTCATGTCCGTAGCACATCACGTCTCCATGCAAGCTTTCCATAATTCATCTAGTGCATGAATAGATTGTATTCTAGCGCACGTTTCAACAGTCTAAGCGCACAGAAAGCGATCAGTTATGTATTCGTATAGAATAGCTTAAATACCTGTTTCATTCTCCATCTGCTTGAGGTATGCGACAGTTCAAAAAATATCTCGTGAAAGCGACGTGTATACACGTGACTTGTGTCATCTTTTCCGATGGAGATCCTTCTTGGTTATGTTACGCACTGTTACTTGAGGCACGTTGACGATTTTTGTAATTGACCTTTGTATTCTTAAGTTTTCATTTTTTACAAGACGCCGCACTTTGCTTATCATTGCTGGGGGGTACGAATTGTTGCAGATCTTTTTCTGGATGGTACCGAATCCCTAAGTTGATCCATATTATTGAAATGATTACACTGTTATGGTAATGGAAGTGCAATTTATGAAATTTATTAAAATAGGAGAGAAAAGAATTTTTAAACCTCAAATTACCCATTAGCTTTTTTATACCATTTCTTACCAGTGGATTCTACATATTACATCATACTAGCGCCAACATCTACTTTCCGCTGCAGGGGTCAAAACACTTCAAAATTCATAGATGTACCAATCACATTTTCCCTTTACTCTTAATTACTTTTATGACTACTCCAAGGGGGAGTGGGAGGGGGTCTGTACCTGAAAACAAAAACCCCGTTAGAATACATTCCTATGGTACCCGAGCACGTGTGTTACGTTTCGTCCCGTTAGCTCGTGAGTTGGGGTATGACAATGATCTCTATATAGAGATCGCCTTCTTCTTTATCAGGAAAAAAAGGAGAAATTCCGATGGCAAATTCTGATTCAGCAACCCTCATACTCCTCACGTCTGGGTAGTCTTCCGGTATAGAGTCTACAAGTACGGATAAGTCCAACCCGAGTCCTCCTGCCGAGTTGGGTACTGTTAGCTCCTGAATTCTGGGAGGAGTTCGTGGACAAACAAACAAATTCACTAAAATATAATATGAATTAATATAGGATTTCGTAATTTTTATGTTTTTGTCTGTTACAACTCTCGGTGTTAAGAAACTGACCGAACAAAAAGTTGTTTGTGTGTGTAAAATACGTACAGGGGATCTCAGTACTAATTAATGGGATTAACTGCTATATTGATAGCATGTTTCGTTTATGTTTTACAAGGAACTTTATAACCAACAATGTCATCGACACATAAATAATCTATTGCATAAATAGTTTAGGAAAATGTGTTTAAAGAGCCGACAGGGTTGATATGGACACCTCATCAGTAAAAGAAAGGGTTAAAGAAAGAGATTATCAGTTATAGTGCTGCGGGTAATTGTATCTACTTGCGTTCATAACGACTTAAGTCATCCCACTTTTATATCTATATATTATGCTATACGTCTAACCTTTAAGACGTTTGTTTGTTTTAGTGCAAAGCTGCACAATGGGCTATCTGCGCTCTGTCCACCGCAAGGAATCGAACCCAAGATTTTAGTATTATAAGTCCGTAAGCATACCGCTGACCCACCTGGGACCTTACGTTTTTGCTTGAAAATCTAGGTACATTTTCAGTAATGCTCACTTGAAATTTAATGTTATTTAGGGTAGCAAGTGTATGAGTGATAAAAGATTACGTTAAATAACTATTAACGGCTCTTAGACGGGGAATATGTGTTTTTATTTATAATTTCATACAAACATTTTTTGTTGTTGTTGCAGACTGCGATTTTTGCTTAATATCAGAGTCTATAGTATAGGGTCCGTTCGTTAGACCAGGACTTGCTTATTATATTAAAATTTGCGACCTCAAGTTTTAGCTAAAATGCCATTTCCATTATTTCACGTCTCATCATGATGCTTCTTCACTTTTGAAATCCAGAAAAAGATTTTTGTTTCACCATTTTTTTGCGCTATACACCACATATATAGGATAATAATAACAAACATCCGGGCTTAGAATTATTCGACTTCATGTACAGTGTAATATAAACACTGATTGTCAGTAGTAAATTTGACCGCAATAATTTTGCTTGAACATTTATGTTGCGTTAATATTTTGACTGTTTCTGGGTGATA